AAATAAGTAATTAATATCTTGTATATTATGAATGTAGTTTCTTTAATATAACAAAATAGATTCTACAAATTTCAAATTATTTAATATCAATTTTAACGAATATATAATACATTTTTAATATTCAATATCATAATTTTATGTATCAATCTTCATATTATTAATTTTATTATAAATCATTATATTTCATTATATCAAATTATATTTTTAATTAATGCATATTAAATTATAATATAAAGAAATCATATTTTTATTTACATATGCACAATCATTATATATACATATAAGTATATATACATGCATAATAACAATTAACAATCTATTAAAAATGTGCATATCAATCTAAGATTTAAAGATATATATATATTGAAAAAAAAATAATTTTGTTTTTGTATATGTGTTAATATTAATATGATAGTGAATTAAATAATAGAATTTTTAAATACAAAATCTTAATATTTTTATCTTACCATTTTTAATAAAATCAATTATTAATTGAGAAAAATAACTTTTCTTATCTTTATTAAATTTATTAAACTATTTCTTTAATCAAAAAGTAAAAATACCAAATTCTATAAATACGCGAATAATTTCTTTATTTTTTTCCTTTTCCAATGTTAAATATAAATGCTAAAAAAAAAAAAAATTTAAGAAAAATATATAAAGATAAAAAATATTTAAAAAATTTATTAGATATTTTAACTTTTTCATGATTAAATGAAGACCAATATAATATTCATATTTCGAAATCCATCGTTTATCAATATATATTTCTAATTAATTTCTATTATACATGTCTATAATGAACTTATTCAGCAGAAAAATTTAATTTATATTCTATTATCTTTTCAATATCAATTTTCTGCAAAATATAATTTAATTTTGAAAATAACTTATTTTAGAAATAGTATTTATAATTTTTTTACATCAATATGATGTATTTATATAAAAATTTAATATATGATGATTTTATGTTTTATGAATAAAAAACTTTGTGGTAGAAACAAATCATGTTGATTTTAGCAAAAGCGCCATCTTCGATTAATATTTCTAGTAATGCACTAACATTGTATTGTAAACGTATTTCTTGATTCACTTCTCGATTTAATTTTAAAATAAATAATTACATAAAATTATATTTATAGAAAAGTTATTTTTTAAAAAAAAGTTATTTTTCTCAACTAATAATTAATACTACATATCACTCAATTTTTATATAATATTTACAAAAATATTTTAAAAATAAATAGAAATAATTTTTTTTTTTTAGATTATTACATTATTAATATTTTTTTCTCATTAATGTGATAGAAAAATGTATTATAGAAATAATGAAAAAAATTTCAATTTCTGATAGAAATTTCATGTCAAAATCTTTATATAATGAAATATTTACAAGAAATTTTATTTTAAATATCAATCTTAAGCTTATTCTACTAATAAATGATCAAAATTGTTACAAAATTTTTCAGACAATTTCTCATATAATATATTTTCGAACTGTCACGATATAAAATAAAACTAATTATGTTAACAAGAAATCATTAAATAAACTAAAAGAATATAATATTGGAAACGTTTAAAAAATAGCTGTCTGACTAATATTACACATAACTACTGTATACTCTAAATAATAAAGCACAGAAAATAAAGAATTAATTTGTGGCAGTAGATAATGTCAAGGATTCGTAATTCATAATATATTGCAACAAGTTTGTAATAACTATAATGATAATATTTTGTTTATGTGTTTATAATGAATGAGCTATTAGTACGAATGCTTAAAATGATAAGAATGTTTTTAACTCACTAGATATGTAAGCAGTGACGTGAAAACAGCTGAGGTCTTCCGGCCATACTGGTTCTAGTTCCGTGATGTTCCTTGATACATAGTGTGAACACGTTGCGACACGAAGTGATGCGACTTGAACCAATCGATTATTAAAGGCGCGATTAAACATTTTTTATTCTTTTTTAGCATTCGCTTGTACAAACAATTTAACTATGTGACGCTGATATCTTTTAAACAATAAAATTTTTAAAAAATAATATAATAGTTCATGATTTTCAATGCGTATTGTTTATTAATATTATGTCAAATAAAAACGAATCTCATTACAATACGATAGTTATCGATATATGATAATTTAAATAATGCATTTCGATTTGAGCGCGAAAATTTTTCAATTTAATATTGATTATTATTGATTTTTATTAATTGTAAAGTTAATATTATTATTTTTTATATATAAAAATAATTTTTTGAAATAATTAAATTAAAATATATTAATGATATCCTTTTTGTTTTCTATTTATTGAAATATTTCTTAAGTTTTTAAAAAAAATTTAATTACTTTCTATTTTATTTTAAAACAACAATAAAAAATAATATTTTAGCATATTTTATTACTATTTATAATTACATATGTGTACAATATAAACAATATGTGTACAAAATCACAAATGTCTTTTTAAGACAAATGCAAACATAAAAAATATGGAATTAATTTTTCAAAAACATTCACATACTAGATAAAAATCACTTTTAATGCTATGATATTCATACTCTAAGATCCAATAGCTTTCTTATAACGAGAATTCACATCATTCCAATTCACGACATCAAAGATAGCTTTTACGTAATCGGGTCGAACATTTTTATATTGTAGATAATACGCATGTTCCCAAACATCAATACCAAAAAGTGGTATTAAACCAGTTGTAGCTTGCAAAGGATCTTGATTAGCGCAAGTAGTTATCCTTAAAGATTTTGATTTTTGACAATAGCCAAGCCAACCCCAACCAGAACCTTGAATCGCAATGGTATTTTCAGATAACCGTTTTTTCATTTCTTCTATGCTACCAAAATCTTTTTCGATCTGATTAAGGAGTGCGGCTATAACAAAAAAAAATGCGCTTTATAAAATTAATCATATTAAAAAATATTATAATATAATAATTTTTAATCTTATTCAAATAATTTATTTACCGTTTGGTTTACCGCCATTTGGAGAAAGATTGCACCAAAAAATCGAATGATTCAAATGACCACCACCATTGAATTTAATAGCAGGACTCAATGCAACTTGTGTATTAACATCACCTTTGGCAACAGCTTCTTTCATTTTTTCTTCGGCAATATTTAAATTATTTACATAAGTCGCGTGGTGCTTTGAATGGTGAAGTTGCATAATTTCGGCGGAAATAATAGGTTCCAAAGCTTTGTAGTCATATGGTAAATCAGGAAGTGTATGTTTTGTTCTCACAAATGTATCTTTACTAAAAATAAAAAATAAATATTAGAACTATTTTTAAAACATAAACAAAAAAATTTTTTAATAATGATAATTAATATTAAATAAAAGAAATAAAATATACAAATTTCGTCATATTTAATATTTTAAAAAATCCATCCATAAAATATCAATTTTGTTTTATTATTAATATAAATATTTCTTCATTATATTATTTATTTTTTATTTTTTAACTTGTATAATTTTTGTATTTTTTACATTAAAAAATGATTAATAGTTTTTTATTATATGTATATATATATGATACTCAAAAATACTGATATTCAAATATCATATTGACAAAGTACTTATCTAATATATCTATATGCCAAAGGTCAAACTAAATTTATATTGATTTTTTTATAATCACAATTAATTTAAATAATTTAACAATATAATTGAATATTATTCAACAATATGTTTTTAAAAAATTACAATTTTTTATATATAATTCGATATTATTAAATTTGACAGATACAACATATATACTTTGAATACAATTAATAAATTTTTGATTAACAATTATTATTATATAAATAGCATTTTGAATTCAATATAAATGATCATAAATTGAATTACACATATATATATATTATATTAAATGATCAGAAGCAAATTTATATTATTATATGTTCAAAATTTTAATTTCATTATTATATTTTCAAGTATATATATATTTATATATTTATATATATATTAGTCTTCTAATATAAATATATATAATATTTACGATTTTATTAAGCACAATTATCATATGAATAAAAATTTTAATATTAATGACAAGAAAAAACGAATGATGAGGTTAGAAATTATATAATATCAAATATGATAATTATAAATGAAAAATAATATGAACTTACACTGTATTGGAAAATAGGATACGTCTTACTGCAAACATTGTTAAAATGCGAATAAATCAAATTACTCTTATATATTAATATCACAAAATCATAAAATGTAAGAGCAATATGCAATTATAGATACTGTACACCTTTGCGAATATATTAATGCGAATGCGAGTAAGCCGAAAAATGGCTTGGCTACTAACTACATATATACAAATATCAGTTACGTCACAGTTTCTATTGGGAATAAAACAAATACTAAAATAATATTTCTTTAATTAATATCCTCTGCATATTTAATGAGATATTCTTATAATTAAAAAAAAATTAAATATAATAATAAATTTAATAACTATTATCTTTTTTTGTAGTTCAATTAATAAAAATATTTTATATAACATTAGAAAAATAATTTCATTTTATTTTTAATTTAATCTTCAGATATATTAATTTTTATAATCGTAAAAATTGAATTAAAACTATCACGTGTCACTTTTTTCTAGGTTAGAAAATAATCTTTAATTAATAAATTGTACGTTATAATAATAATAATAATAAATTTTTATAGATATATAGATATATCAAATTGAATTATACGAATTATATTTTAATCATGGATAATTTTTTTAAAAATTATATATATATATATTATATCCTAAATAGAACATACATATACTCATTGAATATTATACACAAATTATAAATGGATTAAAATAAAAAATTAATTTTTATAAAGAAATCAATTAAAAGTATGTTTTTATATAAATAATATAAAATAATAATGTAAATACTTTATATATTTATCTTTAAAAAGAAAAAAAAATATAATTGTGATATTTTGTAATCTAAAAGATTAATCTACAAGTTTTACTGAAATTAATGTTGTTTTATATTTCATATAATTTACAGGTATTTAATAAATCTAACAAATAGACCTCAATTTTATTATACATAATTAAAAGCACATTTTATGTAATAACGAATTTTGACACGCATGTCTCACAATGAAAAAAAATAGTACATACATACAAATTATTGCGCACATAATCATATATAAATCTATGTATGTGCGTCGTCGTGTACCAGATATTAACATTTGTGTATTTACATAATAAAGAAAAGGCATAGCCCTAATTATTACTTTATTGTTATTTATATTCCTTATAATTGTTTTAAAAAATCTAACAAGATTACTATCAATGTTTTAATGAATTTACAAAAAAGCCATTAAAAACATTGAAGCATTTTTTTATAACGAATACTTATTGAAGAATTTAATGCGATTTCATTGCAAGAAAAAAGAAATATAGTTTTAACTATCTACCCCTTTATTCCAACGCCACATTATTTTGTGAACATATTATCATATGTAATCAAGTGCAATTTTTTCGGCATTAACGTGACTTCAAAATATTCAAATATGAAATATATTTACAAATTTATATTACGAAAAATTATTAGAAATATTTATCGTGATGTGAATGTATTATAACTTTTAAATATGAAATATTATATTCAACTTATGTTGTATATTAAGTCACGTTAAGCCTTATTTGTATATAACAAGTGTTTGTGTATAAAATTGTTCTAGAAAATTGTTCATTCTGGATCGCTTTGAAGCGTCTCACCATTAGTTAAAACTAACGCATCATCATCAGCTTCATTATAATCAAGAGAAAGAATACTCTCTCTTCTCTTTTTTTTATGTGTCCTTTCATCGTCACTACCTGGTGCACTTTTGTCCCTTTTGGTCCTATCCCTACCCCTAGTTATTCTAGTTAGCATCTCTTCCCCATTAGTTTTATTGTTATTTCTATTATGACTTTTGCTTCGTAATATCCTTTTATTATTTCGATTTTCTTCGTGTTCTTCTTCCCTATCACTTAATTCCTCATTTTCAACTTTGATTATCAAAGCAGCTGAATCACTTGAGCTTTCATCATTATGATCCGCTTGATTAGGTTTTCGTTCAATCCGTTCTGTTCTTTCAGTATTTGAAAACTCACACGGCGATCGTTGCGATGACAACGGTGGAGTCCTAGCACCTTTGCACACATCACTATCTTCTATAGATTTTAAAGTCTTTGTTTCTGGAATTGAATTTTCCTCTGATTCCTCTTTTTTAATTGGTGGTGTATGAGGAGACAAACCATTTGTTAAATTATTTTCACTTGAATTTGCTTTCAATGCTGCATTTTCTTGTTGTAATAATGTTACTGATTCACGAGCTTTACGTAATTCTTGTTGTAAGAAATAAATTGTGCTCTGCATTCCTTCAACATCTTCGTCTAAATCTTGTAAAAATTCATCCAATTCTGTAATAAAAATACCATAAAAAAATATTAATTTAAACATAATATATTTAATATATAAATAAAAAGAATATAAAAACCTGATTGTGATTTTTTCATTTCTTCACTAAAACTTCTTTGAAGTGCAAGATCTCCTTCTAATTTAGCAATTCGTCCACTAGCAATCATACGACCTAATTCTTCATTTTCTTGATATAACAATCTACATTTTGCCATTAATCTTTTACCTGTATTGCTATAAAAAAATTAATAAAAATTAATAAATAAATTGCTATAAAAAATTGCTATAAAAATATTACAAATCTCAATTTATTATTTATTTCTATTAAAAAATGTAAATTATTATTTACCTATCGGGTGTAAATTTCCAGGCACTAAGTTCATTCTGAGTGTCCTCTAATTTAGCTTTAGTTGTAACAAGTTCTTGTCTTAATTTCTGAATTAAAATATTAACAGCAGGATCTAGTAGAGCAGATCTTAATGCCACAGCGGACGGAGCATGAGCAGCTTTCATTTCGGCAATTTGATTCTAAAAAAAAATTATATATTAAAATTTCCGATTTCATTAAATTAATCTATGAAAAACTATAAAATTTACATACAATATATTCTTGTAATTCTTGTTCTTTAGAAGCAAGTCTCCTAACTAAAATCTTCTCTCTATGAGATGCTTCTGCATGTTGTTGCCTGTATTTGCTTTCAGATTCTCTCAATGAAGATAGGTCACCTAAAAAAATAGTTATATCATTTTCTTTTTTAATTGAAACTTTATTGTTTAAAGCTATCTATGTGTTTCGTTAATTTGTTTTATATTTATTCTAATCATTATTAGTATAAAATTAAATTGTACATAAATATATGTATAATTTAATCATAATGAATAGATATAAAAATATATAATAAAAATATGTTGACATATAAAAATCTTAAAAAAAATTATTAATTTATTATTTGAATTTGAAGAAGATATATCTGTTTAATTTAAAATATAACTTTAACTTAAAATATTTTTATAATTTTATTTTTTATGATTTTATCAGTTTATGAAATTAATGATATTTAATAAAAAATTTTAATGATATTTTTATAACTATTTATCAATTTAAAATTTCTTTTATATTATTTTTTTTATAATGTATCTTTCACTTTTAATAATTTATTTAATTAATAGCAAAATATGCAAATTTATGAGACACATAGAGAGCTTGAAACCTTAAAATATATGTACATTTAGAATAATAGTACAGACTACTCTGTACAGCTTTCTTTTTTTTTGATACTTCACAATTGTATATTCTTGGTGAAATAAAGCATAGTGGTGAAAATCTACTACATACTGTTTTGCCCTAAGTGCGCATAAACAAAATATGTTCTTATATGTATGTGACATTGATTGCCTGACAACTGACATTTTTAATTAGCGCATACTTTGAGTTTGGAGTCGTTGCATCGTGCCATTTGTGAGATTCTCTGTGCTTCCACCGAGACCAAGAGTGGACGTTATTTTTCTTCCATGAAAATAGATAGACTATTTGTTGCAGACACAGATGTTGTCACAAGATGACCTCCTGGCCTTATTTGATCAGGTTTGTATTTTTTTCAGATTGGACATCAGGAAGTTATGGTGCAGGTACAAATGCATGCATGAATTGCGTTCATAATGGGAATAAACAGGGATGGTTTGTCTAGGAACATAATTAAAATTGTTCAATTTTATCAGATATATCTATATATATAAAATGATATTAAAGATTGTAGATTGGGATAAGAATTGTTAGGATTGGAAAAAGCAGCTGGAATTTCAGATCATAACTGCATCAATTAAAGGTTTCGTACTTCACCAAGACTTAGATTCACGCACCCCTGGCACAGAGTTTTGTGGGCCAAAGGATGACATAGGACCTCTGTTTTTACTCTTCTGAGTGGTATATTCAAAGCCAGCAAGGATGTTGTATTTCATTCAATCCTCGCAAAGTGGAAACTCGATATCCAATGTACACACAAACACACACGCACTGTCCTGCATCTGGCAGTGTGTTTTACTACACTGTAGAATTATACGTGGCACACCGCACGGTCACTTAAGAGGTCATATCAACAGTAAGCTGTGTGTGTTTAGAGTAAAAGAAATGATTTATATATATTTATAGTGAACACATTCAGAAAATTGTCATTTCTTCTTGTCACACAATATCACTTTTTTTCAATATGCACTTTGCTTTTAGCATTAAGTGATTTTTAATATCAATAGTAGCGCAACTTAACACCAAATAATAAAATTATGCATTACTTGCATAATATTATATTAAATTTTTTGTATATGCAGTGTACATGACCGCACATCACTTCTGCTCACCAAAAAAATTTCAAACACTGTACATATTGGCATTAATTTAATTGCCCACACTACACATCACAAATGTAGTTTTCAAAATATTACAATATTACTATATCACTAGCCTTTATCTAGAGTCTATTACCAAATTGATCTATTCAATGCTTTATATATAGCATGTTACTTTATATATACATAAATTTTCTACAACTATAATTTATTTATAGATATCATAAAAAATATTTTTAAAAAATTTCATCTATATTATTATTTTACTTATTTAGTGAAAAATTTTCAATTTTAGAACTTATAAAAAAACTTATTTTTATTATCATTATTATTATTATTAATTATTAATTATTAATTGTTATTATTATCCTAAACACAGTACTAATAATATGCTTAATCCCTAATCTTAACGTCCCTATAAGAGTCTTGTTTCATACAAGAGACCGTTGTGTTCTGGCATTCATAAATTCGCTTAAGAAATGTGGTGAGTGAGATGGTCTCACTCAAGTGATCTCAGTACCTTCCTGAGCTGCCGCCTGGGCCTCTAGACACTCCACATATAAGTCCTGTTCATGCCACTTGGCTGCTAGCTCGTCCTTTGTCATGCTGTCCAATTGCTGTTGTGTTAGCTTCACACGCCTTGGTTGTCTAGGTGAATGAGGACTGCTTTTTCCTCCTGTACTATTATTTTGTGGACTTCTTGGTGAAGATGGACCAGCAGATTTAACATCATTGCACTCCTCTGCCATTTTATGTCAGATGTAATAGAATCACACCCAGGATCTTAAGTAAGTTTTGAAGCCTACTTCTTTAATTCTTTAACTGCAACGGGTGCGTTGATAATATGCTATTAATGCTAGCATACATTTGCCTGAAAAAAAAACTTTTTTTAGTATAACATATAATATACTGATAATATAAATAAATTAAATAACTATATACTATTAAAAATGTAATGTTATTGATAAAATTATTTTTTAAAATATATAATTATTGAAAATAAAATATTAATTTAAATTGAATTGTTATAATCATAATATTATCATTATCATGAACATATTTATTTTTATATTCAATAACTTTTATATAATATATAAATATAATTATTTTATAAAAACTATAATAATAATACTTATATAATATTCTTATAGTTAAAGTTATATAGTATAATGTAATAAGGTTATATAGTATAAGTCATAATATATTTTACTATTATATATAATATTAAAATATATTACTGTGAATAATAAATCATTTATAAAAATTATATTTATAAATTCCTACACATAATTTTATATTTAATTCAAAATGACATATTAATATTTGATATTTTATCGCAAAAAATTTGTAAAAAATATAAAGTTACTATTGTTGTATCTAATATTGTAAACGTGAACATATAACATTACTATATGCATTATTTACAAATATTTTATCTTCAGATTATTCTTCCACTTGTCATATATTGAAATAAAACTTTTACAAGGCGCAGGTTCAAATCCGGCTTTTAGAACATACCGCGTGATTGAAGAAGGTCACGTGGCACGTTTAATGTTTTATTGCGACATGCAAGGTAGGGAATGTAAGATCCAGTTATCTATAGTCGAAGGGAGCATTGACGCCATTATGTCGACTTGCTGCCATGAACGAAAATTTCGCGATATAAGATTAAAATATATTGTCTTATTTAAATCATTAAAATTACTTATATATATAAATTATAAAATAGATTTAAAAACTTCATACAAAATAATGCACTTGTAATCATACAATTATCCAGATGTTTGATTTAGTTGTAATAATTATAACTCTTTCCTAACATAGATCGTAGTATATTCATTATAATGTAATATCATCTAAGAATGTAATATTATTTTTGTTCACTTCACATACCTGATATACTGACACGCCTATCATTCTTGAAAAATGTTTGTATCCAGTATTGGGTATAACGTGAACGATGAAACACGATACCATGTATGTATATACACATGCATAAATGTACGCATATATATATGATATATATGTATACAAATGTAATTTCGTAGTGTCTTATAAGCAAGTAGAAGCTTTTGTTAGCAAGTTTTTCGATTGATCAATCAAAAAGAGAATAAATATTATATATAAAGTTTGTCTCAATGTCCCGCGCATTTAAATATAACATCAATACGTGTACACGATATACATATCACGAAATCTCTTGAAAACCATGCTACTATAGTTTTACACAGTAATGTAACTAATCATGAACAATGATTACTGCCGACCTCACGTTCAGAGCTAAAGAAACGAATATCAGCGCATGCTCCAATCACAATTGTCCAACTACAGTGCTGACATAGAAATATACCAAATATTTTTCGATTAACACAATATAGAAAATATTCAAATAAAAAAACAAAGTTTCAAAAAATCACTATCGATCAGAATGATTTCTTTATATGTTTTTCGAAATTATTTGTTATTAATTTTTGTTTATAAATTTATATGTTAAATACATCACGTGAAAGTTCTAATATATATGTATATTATATTTCAAATGCCGAATCAAACTTCTGAATTACATTCTAAATGATCTAAAATATTTCAAAATGGCATGTTTAAGCCCGCCATTTTTAAAGTACTTAATAATACAAACTTCAGATAATAATTACTTTAAATATAATAAAAAATATTTCTTTTTAAAAAATAAAATACTTTAATTATTTGAAACAATATATATTTTTAGATATTATAAAGTAATTAAATATTCTAAAGTAATAAAATATCTGAATAAATCTTCGTTTAAAATGATGTAAATATAAAATTAAAATTGTCTATTGATTAAATAATATAAATGAAAAAAAAAAAAATTTATTCTTTCATAAGACTAACTCTTGATTTTTTTTATTTTATTTTTTTATAGTTCCTGAATTTATGTTTGTCGATTTTATTGATTTTACTTTAATAGGTGTTGTTTTCATTTTAATAGGTGTTGTTTTTGAAATTTTTGTAGGTGGTTTAATCATCGAAATACGACTATTCGTTGTATTGAGCGTTTCCAAATTTGATGAAGCACTATTTTTTTGTTCAGGAGATGTAAATTTTTTTGTTCTTATTAAATTTCTGCAATTTAAAAAATAAGATATACAGCTTAACTTAAACTACTATATATTAATTTTTATATAAATAAATAATATCATTTATACCTATTCGACAGATCAGAATTGATTGTAAGATTTATTTTACTCATGCTATATCTTCCGTTTTCTAAAAACTTTTTTCCTGTGTCTGAAGGTTTTAATAATGAAGTATTAGAATTAGCAGGTGAGGGAATATAAAAACTATTACGGCGAACTTTGGATTTTGAATTCTCTTGTTCAAGTTTTAAATTTCTTCGGGTAAGAGGTTTAGAAAGCGTTGGTTGAATTTTTGGGGTTTGTGCTAAATTTCCCGAAATTATTTTTTGCTCGTAGCTTAATTTTGACAAAGACTTGATATTTGAATTTGGTCGAGTTGATTTGTAAGGACTAATAATAGCAGCTGTATTTGCCGGTGCTGATTTTACAGATGTAGCATCATTATCTAATATAAAGATAAACAAATTTATTAATAATTATCTAAAAAAAGTTATTTCCAAATTATATTTATCTAATATATTATAATCACCTTGAAAAGGCGATAAATCAATCGATGTCTTCGGTTTATTGATTAATAAAACATTAAGAGCTTTTTCTAAGTTTTGTTGTGCTCTTAAAATATATTCAGTCACATTTTTAGGATTCTCAATTTCGCTCTGTAAGGAAATTTGTCCTAAAGACTTAGATAATTCAGTAAGTATAGCAGGAGAACTCGTGAGTTTTGGTGGCGATGGTCGTGGTTCTCCATCTAAACTTCCGGTTTCGATATCCCATGTTTTTTGACGTTGAAGAGTAGGTCCTTTTTGAGAAGTAGTGTGACTTACAGATGATTCGAGATTCGTATTCTTACTTTGATCCTCAGAAATACTCTAATATTGCAAAATTATTAGTAAAAAAAAATTTTAATGTCACAAATAAAATATTTACATTTAAATTGATATTATTTGTACGAAAACATATTTCCGGTTGTGTATGACTTCGTGTAACATTTTTTTTTGAAATATCCTGAGTAGGTCTTTGTTCGCAAAATATATTACTTGTGCGTGAAATATTTAAATTTATATCTGTATTACGATTAACGTCTGGCTCATATACGATTGTATCAAACAATTTATATGATACATCACGCAAAACTCGTGTAACGTCTTTTGATAAACGAGGTAATAGATTACTACCAGTTTCTTCCACTTTTTGTGCAATATTATCCTGAAAAAAATATTAAGATATTAAGATAGAATTTTCTAATTTTAAAATTTGTTTTATTATTACAAATTTATAATTTAATTTCATTAACATTGATTTTCAAATGTAAAAATTTTTTAAATAATAATTAAATTAAATCAAAATTATAATAAATATTTTAAAAACGTACGATACTTCCAGTAGGTTCGGTACCACTAATTGTCCAAAAAGATGCATCCTTAATATGATCAGAATTAGGACATTGACATGTAATTCCTCCTAATTCTAACACTGCTTTCATGTTTGATATATCACATTCGATTGCAACTTTAAGAATTCCTTGTTCAGGTTCTGTTTTCATATTATTTTCATTTTTTTTAAAGATAAGTGGATCATTATATTTTTCAAATGAAAGCAATTTAAATCCGATCGCTTGTAAAAAGGTAGCTAATATTGATACATCTAGTTTTGCAGAATGTCGAATATCGCGCATTTCTTCATCAACATGCGCATGTAGTCCGTTTATCCATTTGAGTACCCATTGGTAAAACTTTCGTTGTGCACTTGTAGATTGTGAAATAACACACGTACCGGTATCCATCTCGAAGAAACATAAACTGAATAGCATAGAAAACAAACTGTTCTTGAGATTCATGTTTAAATTTTTTTTATTGATAACGGAATTATTAGTAAATTCATATTTGTATTGAATATATAACAGTTCTTGTTATTGAATTATAAACATTCAAAATAATACAAGTAAGCAACGTTAATATATATATATATAATTTACATATGAAATTAAATTAAATTAGAGTTTCATTATTTAATAATTTCTCTAAAATATTATATGTGAATATAATGTGTACACTACGTTATTAACATAAAAATATTTATTTAAGTATTTTTTTTATTTCTATTTAAGTACTTATATAATTATGAAGACAAATTAATATTTTTTTATAAATTTCATATTTCTAATTTTTATTTATAATTATCAACAAAAATTAAAACACAAATGATATAATTGTTATATCTGATGTAAGAATTATTTTGTAACTGAATTCAAATTATACGTATTCGAATTTTTTTGAACTTTATTATGCATATTTTACAAAAATTATATTGTAGCTTTTATAGATATTCTATTATTATATCAATTGTTATTTTATATATATTATATAATGTTATATAAAATTTTGCATTATATGTATTTAGGTTATATTAAATACAAATAAGATAAAAATTAATTCTAAGGTTTTCTTAATTATATATTTATTTTTTATATTTTTTTTTACTTTATTATATATTTAACTTCTTTTTTTTTTTACTTATAAATTTTTTGTA